TATCGAAATGATAAAATCATTACCTAACCAAGTTTTCGTTTTCTAAAGTTTATTTGAATATAAATATAAAAAGAGTGTTCGATAATAAAGTGAAATTCTTTTCTAAGAACAATATATCTACTTAAAATCTTTACTTTCTCTAACTGCAACAAGATTGAAATATACGATTGTTTATAATAGTTTTATTATTAAATGAATACCAATCTATTTATAGAAAACTAGCATGAAATGCGAATAAAGTAAGTGTTCGATCTAAAAAAATAAGCGTGAATTTTAAAAGATCGTCCTAAAGATATGAGTGATAAATTTATTCTCTCTCGTCAAATATACCCATGTCTATATCGTTAAGGTAGGTAAGTGAAACCAAAATGCAACTTAATTTTCTGTATGACTACAAAAGTAACATCATTTGTTTTCGGTTACAGGGATCTACGTAAGAAATGGTGGGAAAAGCTCCTGTCAATGCAGGATGTTAGAGTCAACATTGAGAACAGAGGATATTGAAGTTTTTGTCAGAAGAATGAAACTATAATATTTGCTGATTGTACTCTTCACATATATATTTTTTCAGTCGTGATACTTCCTGTTCGCTTCTTTCAGGATATCACTTCATCTTCGCACTCATAATTATCTCAACACTTAGTTGATAACGTCCCAATATGAATAGTCTATTGTTTGATGAACCATTCTCGATTGACTATTATCGTCTGTAGTTGCCACCAAGGATGATGTTATATATATACGATAAGATAACATATGTGAAGTGCATAATCAGTAAATATCACAGGTTCAGTCTTCTGTTACGATGCATTTCAATTTCTTCCATAAATTGAAGATGTTCAATAGTTTTTTTTATTTCTGATAGTGAAAAATTTCATTATCTCATTATGAAGAAAAAGCATGAAAAGTTTTATAGACAATTTATTGTGAGATATTATGGAACATTCTTTAAATATATATGGAATGTAAAATAAATAGAGAACAAAAAAAACAATGTCTATATGCTATTTTGTATTAAACCAACCACCACCAGTTGCTAAACTATTATTAGGTTTTTGATTTTCAATTTTCGCTTTTTCTTTTGATGAAAAATGTAAAATTGTCATTAAAGCGTTCGCCATTGTATGTTTAACTTGTGTATCATTAGAAAGTAAATAATGATAAAAAACATTTTTTATGTAATCAATATTATGTTCATTTTTTGTTAAATTTTCATTTCTTTGCGTACTTAATTTAATATGTTCTAAATCTTCAGTTAATTGTTCATTTGAAATTTGCAGTTGACTTATTTCATATGAATATTTTTGTTGTAACTCTCTTATTGTTGAGTCAAATTCACGACGTTCTTTTTTTAATGCACTTAATTCTTGTTCAAGTAATTGTTGTTTTTCATTAAAATATACAAGATAATTATAATCAGAATTCAATGGACTTATTGGTCCACCATTTGTTGATGTTGAAAGATGTTGAGGAAATAATTCCGTCATAATTGTTGTTGGTTCATTAGTTTCTTTTAAATCGGATATTGATGATGTATGAGATACTTGTTTATCAATTATTGGAGAATTATCTAATTGTTTTCGTAATGTTTCTAATTCTCGATCTTTTTCATTTAATAAACGTACTGTACGTTCACGTTGTTTTTCTAATTCACATTCAAGTTCATTTAATTCACCACGTTTTTTTGTTAAAATTTGTTCAGTCTCTTGACGATGTTGTTCACGAATAGCTGTTAAACATGATTCAAGTTTTTCAACTACTTGGGTATGTCGATCAGTTTCAGAATTATATAATGATTGACTATTAACTAATTTTTCACGTAATTGATCAATTTGATTACGTAAATCATCGATTTCTTTTGTTGAACTTGTATCCTGAAAGACAAGAAACGTTTTTTATAGATAGGGATGTACCGAGCTCGGGTATCAGGATGAGTGTGGGTGAAAATAGTGAGTGAGAGTGAAAAGGATAGTACCCGCACTCACACCCGCCCACTCCCACCCGCCCACTCCCACGTCCATCTTGATACCCGAGCCGTTCGGGCTCGGTACATTCTTATTTATAGATTTTGATCAATACAAAAAAATATTAAGTAATAATAATATCGGCTCTGTTAGACTATATACCTTGAATGCCTTTGCTTTAAATGCTGCCACAGTTTTATTTCGATAATTTTCTAATTCACCTTTAAGTCGATCGATTTCTTCATGACATTTAATATGCAAGATTTTATTATTTTCTGAAGATAAATTTGATCCATTTATTGCACCAGATGATATTTCACGATCAATATTAAGAACATCTTATGTAAAATCAAATAAACTAATTAGACTAGATAAATACTTTTTCTTTACCTTCAATTGTTAGAGATTTCCCAAAACGATCATTTGCAACACGTATTAAAACTTTTAGTTTAGAAATATGTTTTAATAATGTATCTAGATCATGATGATTATCACTATCATCATTTGTTCCACCAATATCATCTTGTTCGATGGATGCTGATGAAGCTTTGGTTAAGAGAGAATTTTCAACATCAAGTTGAGCTATACGTTCTTTTAAACGTTGAATAGCCATTTGATCTTGTGCACTGAAAGATATTTATTTAAATAAACAAATACAAAACGATTGAGGAATATATCAAAGGAGAGAAAAAGATGTATTACCGTTGTTTTTCAATAACACCAATTTGTTCAGATAATTCTGCAATATGTGTTTCATTTGTTGACGTTCTTTGAGCATATTCAGTTGTATTATCAGTTAATTTTTTTTCTAATTGTTGATTACGTTTTGATTCTACACGTAATTGTTCAGTATATTTAGCCTAATAAATAAATATACCAAAAATTAAATCTATTACAAAACATTTATTTTACTTCTAAATCTTTTATTTTTGTCGTTAATTCAACAACTTTTTCTTTTGAACGCTTTAATTCTTCAACATCGACTCTTTAGAAGAAAAAAAAGAAAATAATATTTATATTTAAAATTTTTTATTCTAAACTTACGAATCTTTTTCTTTTAATTCATTTACTTTTGTTTGATATTGTGTATTTAAATTATTATATTGCTTTTTCAATGTATCATATTGACTTTCTAATGTAACAACTTTTGCTCGACATTCGTCATACTAATTAAATTTAAAGTATTAAAGACTTATATTTAAATGAGCAATAAAATAATCTAAATGAGCAGTAATGAAATTTGGCAATAATAATACTGAATGAGCAATAATTATATTCAATGAGCAAAATTTATTTAAATTGACAATAAATCGTATGTATAGGAAGCAATATAAATCCAGGTACTACAGTATCATTCGTCTGTGTTCAATACTTTCTTTTGATTGTATCGTATACATGGCTTATTCAGGATCTCCAAATATATATTGTTTTTTTCTTTTTCATCTGAGACAAGGGCGTAGCGACTAGGGGCCTCGTGTGGTGTCACGCTCCCCTGCTTTGGAAAAGTTTTGTTTTTCTTGGTCAATAAAATCAAAAACGAGGTTTTTTTGTGTTAGATTTAAGTAAAAAGGGTGTTGCGCTTCCCCCTGCTTTTAGAAATTGAAGTACTAAACTTTCGCGCCCCCTGTCTTAGGGATCTCGCTACGCCCCTGATCTGAGGTATTTTCCAAACGTTGACTCGTTTAGGTACTTTTCTTTCTCCTTGTTTTTCCCTCATTATCTTTGAATTTTCCCATCCTGTTTATGTGTATATACTACACTCGTTTATAAGAGAGAATGATACATTCAATAGCGATCAATTAGACTAAATTTTCTCTTAATAGTTGATTTCCACAGACAGTTCAGTCACAACGTGTAGCGCAATATATTTCTGATAGTGAAAATGACATTGATACGGAACGGAAATCTTCCAATAATAGTGCAATAGGTAAATAAAAAAGGAATCAAAACCGATGAAAACCATCTCGAGAGTGGGTGTGGGTGTCCCTCCTTCATTTTGACCCACACCCTCAAGATTTAAGACTGCTCAAAGATTCTTACTAATTCGTATTTTAATTATTGCTCATTCAGCTATTTTTATTGCTCAAATAAATACTAGTCATTATTGAATGTCTTTTTTTCGTGTTTTATATCAATGTCATACTTGATGTTCCATAGTTTCCGATTTATTGCGTTCAGTTGAAAGAATCGTTTGTAATTCACGTACCATAACATTATGATCAGCTGTTTCACGTTCATGATCACGTTGAGATTGACGCAATTGTTTTTTTAACTGAAAGTAGAGAATTATTCATTTAGAAATGAAATTTGAGTTTTTGTTTAAAAATCTTTTGTATGACTTCAGCATAATTACCTCTTTAATTTCATGATCAGATTTTTCTTTAATAATAATATTTTCTGCTTTTGTTTCTTCAAGTAATTTTTTTAATTCTTCATTTTCAGTCTAAAATAAAAATATTTCATTTTATTTAGAAACGTAAATCAAATAATTTCACCTTAAGTTTACGTTTGTCTGATTGAAACATTTGTTCCATACGATTTTTTTGTTCGGTAATAATAGTAACATTTTGTTGTAGTGTTTGAAGTTTATCTTGTATTGTTGAATGTTCACTTGATGCTGCATGAGTAGTTTCTGTTTCATTACCAGATTCTGTATTCTATATTTATAAATGAATAAAATTTATCAATTTAAATAGATGTTTTTTACTTCTTGTGTATTTAAATTTGTTTCTGTTTCTGTATTAGATTTTTCTACATTTGATGTTGTAGATGATAAGACTCGTACAGTAGATTCGAGAGCTTCTTTTTCTTTTTGTAAATTTTTATAAGCAGAAACAACATCTAGTTTATTGTAAAACTTGATAATAGAAAAAAAACAAAGGAATTTTTATTAAAAAATAATTTACCTCCCAAACGTTGTTCAAGACGTGTTATTCGCGATTGCTGATTTTCAATAGTTTTTGTTAATTCACTTTTAGATGACATCATTTATTCATTTTTTATCTAAAACTTTTAAAGAAAAATAATAACCACGTTGTTTTCCTTAGAAAAATCAAATTTTTCTTTTTCTAATAATAAACTATGACTAGTTCTCATTTAATAACAATTCTGTTGCTTGCGCACGTTTCACAATCCATTTAAATATTTCTTCCTTCGTTTTTACTTGATGTAAAGAATCGCTTGGATAGATCTAACATGTAAAAAAATAACTATATAAGTATGACAGAGAAAAAAAAACAAAGATATTCTTACAATCACAGGTATATAATTCAGTTTTTGTAATTGACGAGCTTTAGCATAGAATAAACCAAGTGGTCGTAATGGATCATTTGCACATAATTCCTCTTCACAAAGTACTTCGAGTGCATACCTAAACAGACGACAAAAAGACGCGGACTATTTTCAGTCAATAGTTTCTTTATTTGATTAACATCTACGAGATAAATAGGAAGAAGACTTTCTATAAAGGTCATATACTACGGATAAGATAGAAGAATGTGTCATGTATTCGAACAACTTACATTGAACCATTATCTTCATTTTTATCGAAGGATTGAAGACTTTTCTTCGTTTCATTTGGTATGATCTGTGGTTGTTGATTAGTATTTAAATGAATGATAATATCTGAAATAATATTAATAAGCTTTTTGTTTATTTAAAAATTAATATTTTCATACCAGGACTTTTGAAATGTTTTAAAATAAAAGCACTTTTTACATAATATCGATTAGGTACACATTCTAATAATCGTTGCATAACAATAGAAAAATAGGGTCGTTTACGTTTTTCTATTTCCCAAGAACCATATAAATGACGTGGTAATGAATCAAGATACATCTACTGAAAATAATATATATTATAACTATTAAATCTATTGATTAGTATAAAATCAAACCTGATCAAGATATGGTCTTTGTGGAGAACAAAGTAGTTTATGTGATTGAGATATAAAGAATAACTTTTCTTTCATCCGAGATTCTAGAAGATAATAAATACAATCATTAAATAGTATAAGGTATTACATTATTTCGAGGAAAATTTTATTATATTTAATATGAAACTAAAGGATATTTTAAGAAATCATGCTTGACAATCAATGAACACGGCAGGAATATTAGAGTTTCGTAAGAACGAAGACATTAAAGTTATAAATTCTTCTCATAGCTGCTTGGTTATTTACAAAAAGACGTATTATTCGAAATATTACAATAACGGCTCAATTTAACTATGAAGGGTGATTAATGATGTTTTTCACACGAAATTATCATATCTCGGATCATTAATTACTAAGTCCTATTATTAAATTCTTCTATACTATTGAGACATATCTATAAGTGAAAGAGCTGTCATTCTACTTCTCAATTTTATTATAGAAAACGTATTATATCTATAAGATTTGATGTGTCATAGAAATATGAAAAATACAAAAATTGAAAAAGGCGATTTCTCGAGTATATAATAACTATAAGCATCTATAGTTCATGACTAACTACTATGAAATAGTTCAATACTTTATGATTCGTAATTACTAAACAGAAAAACTGCTACTCTTCATATATTTCCTTTGTATTTATGTTTGATCTCTGTTAAAGTGTTACTATTTAATCATACAATAGAAAACATGTCTTATTTTTTCGATATTCCGATACTTGACTCAACTATTCGTCATATAGGAAAACTTTTATGTTCGACAAAGCTTAATCTTACCTGATAATTGATTTAAATTTTCTTTTGCAAAAAGTTTTTCTAATAAATCTTCAGGAAATTCTCCAATCATTGCCAATGGTGCTAGAACATCAACAAGACGTTCTGGTTTTTGTTCAAATTGTTTCATTTTATCATGTACATAAATTAAATTCATATATTTGATATTATTTTTTTTAATATAACCCATATAAATCAATGTATTCATTATTTGTATCATATCTTTTGCTCGATATAATGTTGATGATGAATTTGATTCGAATTCAATTAGTTTTAAACAATTATGAAAAAAATCTTTTGAATAAAAACGAAATGTTAATAAATAAATTCCAATACGCATTGTCATTCGAACAATTTCATAACTAAACGTATTTAATTTTAATTTTCTATGTTGTTCAAATGATTGATTAAAACGATTGGTTAACGAATTCGCTATAGAAATTTTTCCATAATTTGATAAAGTTAAAATTTTAATAAAATTTTGTTTATCAACAGCTGAAAGTATTTTCTTCTTCTCATCATTTATTAAATATTGACCAATATAATCGAGTAAATTTTGATTTTTTAATGGCATTTGTAAACGATACATAGCCGAGCAAAGTAGACTAAGATCAATTAATGAAATATTTTTAATTTGTTCATCGGTTAAATTAAATTCAAAGCTTGAAATAATATTTTCTAAGATTTTATTTGGATTTTTTGTTTGATAATCATAATATTTTTGTTGATGAAGAACAAGTAGATTAATAAATTCAATAAATAAATTTGAAGATATCGTTTTATTCATTGGTATTAAACATTCAATTAAACGTTTGATTAAAAAATCAAGTTTAATATTATGTTCATAAGCAAAAAATAATAGATCATTAAATTGTTCTATTGTTAAAGTTTGTGAAAAATTTTTCATTGTATTTCTAGTATTTAAATCATTAAGATTAGTAATAATCGATGAAGTTTTTAATAGTGACTCAAGATGTGTACGTATATGATTGGACATTTGTTGTTGATTATCATGAAATATTTTCAAACGACGTGTATAAAAATAATCGAAAGTTTTTTTATCAAAATTCTTTTTCAATGTTGGTGAATAATTTTTACTGGAATGACGAGAAATTAATGATGATAAAACTGACCATCGACAATGGTTAATAATAGAATATCGAAACATTTGTCTAAAATAATAAACAATAGAAAATTTCTTTTGAAACATATAGATATATAGCAATTAAAAAAGTCGTTTGCGGACATCTTGAATATTTCTATTCGTCGGTATATAAACTATTTACAATTGAACTAAAAAAATAACTTTAGTCATAAATTTCAATGTCAATATTTTGCTCGTTATGATTGCTATTCTTCCTTCAATAATCGATACGTCAAGTAATCAATAAAACAAGGCTATTCAACACACAAAGCTTATTACATAGAAATTATTTTGTTCTTTTTAGTTAGATATAAATTATGTTCAATATATTGTTTATTATCTGAAGATAGAAAATAAGTAGTCTATTGCAAAATTGTTCAATCATTAATGAGTATCTACAAGATTTTAGTGATAAATTCTGTTGATTACTCGTAGTGAACATAGAAAAAATCGCAATTATATGTGTCTAATAATTCATTTCGCATTGAAACTCTACAGAAATCAAAATTGTATAGAATAAAATCTATGAAAAGATAACTATTATAAAAATCATTTAATATATTGTTTAAAAATTAATTGAACTTGTATATTTCATTATTTTTTAAATAATAATCTATAGATAAGTCAATTCAATTTTCAATTTATTAATATATATACTAAAATATTGATAAAAATAGATATTTTCTTTTGTGATGCTTCAATAATATATATACATGTTATTATTTATCGTTGAAAACTAGTGGATAAAATTTGTACCTATAGAAACTTAGTATTACAGAACCATCTATGAAGAGGGCATGCATGCATCACATACACATATGATAACAATCAAATGAAGTTCTTTACAATAAATAAGAACATTAATGATAGTGAGATTACATTTATTTTTCTCAGCTATTTATCTCGTCATTCCTTTGTTTTTCTAATTTTGAAGATTATCCAACTAATATTCTAGCTATTTCATTCATTAATGATGAATTCTTTGAACCTTTGTTCATACAAAAGTACTTGAGCATATTCATTGATGACGAGAAATGAAAAATCGGTTCATTCCAAATCTTTATTCCAATAAAGAATTATATATACGCATACTTTAAAAAAATCTTGAGTAATATCTGTTATACACAGATGAGGTTTTCTGGCTGTTTCAAGCAATATTTTAACAATGAAAATAAAAAATACCACAGCCTATATTGTTTGAGCAAATTTATTTACCGATTATCAGTTGTAATAGACAGATGATCTGAAAACTGTTCCTAGAAATTCTAAGAATAGTTCATCATGCTATCGACTTTTATTTGTAATAAAAATCTCAATTAGAATTTTTCCACCTATGACGTTAGGAAATCATACAAAATTCGAGCATCTTACCACATATATTAAATTTTACTCTGTTGAATATCCTTCTCAAAATAAACACAAGTATATATATATAATATTCTCATTCATTATTCCCGGATAACTTGTATGTCTAAATAGATTGTAAAGTCACTAATACAATCTTAATGGCTATCTGAAGACCAATAGGATGAAAGCTACCTGTATCTTCGTCTTTCCCTTATGATTATATCTATAAATAATAGCAAATTCTTTTCCTACACTCAGGATATATCATGTTTTTTTTTCTTCTGATTTTGAAATAAACATCTACTACATTTGACTTCAATTAATATGTCATATTGATTATGCAATATTTTTGTCATTCGTACTTCCTCATTAACCGAATAAATGATGTCATATTTTCAAAAACAGTTAGTCATATCATTCAATATATATATATAAAACTGAATATTGACCACAATACGAAAAAATATTCCATTTATTTCAGATGACTCATGAACATTGTGATAAATGTTTTCTAATAAATTGTCTTCATTCATCTTCTTGTCCAGTAATATCTTGTCCACATGGATGTTTTGCTCGTATGCATGAATGTAAACGTAATGATCATGAATATATTTGTCCAAATATTTTTACATCTTGTTTAAATGCTAATTATGGATGTCCAATGACAATTCGACGTTGTAATCTTACTAAACATTTACGTGTATGTCCTGCTTCTATTACTGTTTGTACATTTATATATAATCATGATTATCATTTTGATAAACTTGACAATACAATAAATGATAATCTTATTCAAACAATTGCTCTTCGTGATAATATATGGTATGAACATATAACAGAATTTGAAAAAAAACAAAAAGAATTATATCCGGAAATATATAAAACGACAAAAAACAATAAACAAGGAGAAAATTTAATTCGAAGTGAAATATATCGTTATATAACAATGCCTGAATGTATGTTAAATAGAGGAGATGGTGCTATATGTAGTACATGTCGGAATCATCTTAGGCATTTAGAAGACGAAGAAGAAGAGCGTCTTTCAGGATTGACTCCAGGTAATTCGAATTTTGTAAATTAATTAAAACAAATCTTTATTTGTAGAAGAACAAGAACAAATGGCTGAATTTAACTTAAATTATAATACTTCATCTGAACAAAGAACAACTCCATCCTTAGTAAAAATGTCTTCAACTTTAATTAATTCATCTGATATCTCTCAACCACCTCCTGCTTCTCCTCCAGTACATTCAACTAGTGAATCTTCTTCAGACTACTATTCTCCTATGCCGCTTATATCAGATACTGAATTACCTACTTCACATATTTATCGATTAAATTATTTTTCTTCAAATCAATATCCAAAAACTATTTTAACATTTAATAAATCACCTCGTTTTTATTGTCATGCACTATGTCGTCGAGATGAAATGGAACAACATTGGCTTACACATTTTCGTTTTGATTGTATACTTAATACATCATTAATACAACAATGTCCGAAATCTCAATATGGATGTACATTTCAATATGAACGTCTTGAACCTTGTCGAATTGATGGAGAATCAATTCGTATGCGTTTTGATCAAACAAATGATGCTGTTGCTTTTGAATGGCATCCAACAATAACTATAGATCCAAATAAAATATTTAGTTTACTTGATTTACCATCAGAAATTCTTGAAAAAATTCTTTTAGAATTGGATAGTTTATCATTAAGAAATATTTCACTTGTTTCTCGTGTAAGATATTCATTATTATTTACTTATTTTTGTTCTAAATATGAGAATATTTTAGCGTCTACGAGCTTTATGTGAAGATTTATTACCTTCTCGAGGTATTGTAATTACTGAATATGAACGTCATCCACTTATACATGGTGATATAACTTGGATTGAACGAAAAAAAGTAAATAGATATATTTATTGATTATTTTCATAAAAAACCTTTTCTTTTAGCATTGGTTATTTACAAATACTTCATCTGCTGTTCCGAAATGGCAATTAAAAATACCAAATAAATTAACATCAATGAATCAACATATGATAACTTGTCCGTATGGTGAAAAGAAAGATCTAGAGAATGAACCACGATTTGAATTAATTGGATGGGCTAATCGAAATGTGACTGATAATTCTACTGAATAATATATTTTTTATTTAAACTTACATAGAGTGCTTCTTTTTTTGCCTATATCCTTTGCATAACTTCTCTTCCAAAGAAGAATATCAGTAGTTTCTTCTTTGTTTTGATGTTGAATTTATTTGCAATGTTTTCTTCTTCTTCTTTTTTATAATCGGTTGCATTATTTACCTTTTTTCTTTTGTATTTTTGATAAATTATTCAGTTTGTATTAACTTTATAGATCAATTTTCATGTCTCGTTTTCTTTCGAAAGTTATATTTCGATCAGAATCTCGTCGTTTTTTATCATCATTAGCTACATTTGATGTGAAACCAGAACAAAAAACTCGAGAACTTATTGATAAAATTATACGTGTTGATCAGGCAGGAGAATTAGCTGCTGATAGAATTTATGCTGGACAAATGGCCGTTTTAGGTCATACAGATGTTGGACCTACAATTCAAGTAAATCTCTTACAAATAGGAAAAAAATAGGAAACTGTCTTTTTTTTCTTCTTCTATTTGAACAGCATATGTGGGATGAAGAAAAAGCTCATTTAGCAAAATTTAATGAATTAATACCAAAATATAAAGCACGACCATCAGCATTATTACCGATAGCTAATATTGCTGGTTATGCATTAGGTATTTTGTAATGATCTTTTTGTGTAATGAAAAAAAACGAATTTCTCTAGGTGCTGGAACGGCTCTATTAGGTAAAGAAGCAGCTATGGCATGTACAGTTGCTGTTGAAGCTGTTATTGGCGAACATTATAATAAGTGAGATAATGTTAAATATGTTATTTTTTCTTCTAATCTTGTTATTTCGAAAATAGTCAATTACGTGATTTAATGGAACATGCAGATCAAACAAAAGACAAAGATCTGATTGAAGTAAGAAAAATATTTTTTGAAAAAAACAAAGAACTATCTTAATTTTTGTTTATAGACAATTAGGAAATTTCGTGACGATGAATCTCAACATCATGATACTGGTTTAGCTAATAATGCAGAACAAGTAGAGATTTGATTCTTTTTTATATGATCTATTGTTTTGTTTTATTTCAGGCACCTTTCTATCGTAATCTGACTAGTGTTATTAAATTGGGTTGTCGTCTTGGTATCTATTTAACTGAACGTATTTAGATTAAAATTTAAAAAAAGTTATGAAATTCTTGTCTTTATTTTTAATGAATTTAATTTGAAGTATAGAGACTTTGTCGAAAAGTTGGTTGATACGTATTAGAAATTTCTTCTTGTATATGAGAAGGCCATTGAAAAGCAAGACGTTGTTCGCTATTACCAAAATATCGTTGTCCACCATTAGATTTATCACTATCAGTAATAAGATCATGAAAATATTGACTACGTGTCATACGTTCTTTTTTTAATTTTGGATCTGATGGAATATTAGCTTGAGAAGAAATCTGTCCGGCGACTAAGTCTTTCGTACGATTATTTGCGAAACGTGCCTGATATTCACTAGATTTTATAACTGATGATGATGAGTTTAAACGAATTGGATCCGGTGCTGGAAAAGGATCATCAAATATATGAGTTGATTTAGCCTGAAAGACATAAGGTCGTTTAGGACGATGATTAGTAAAACCTAGACCATATTCAGATGTTTTTGGTATAAAATTTGGATCGACGTCGAAAGAGAGAAATGAACGACTACGTGTTGGTATTCGATTATTACCAAATTTTGGTAAAGCTACATGAGGAATATAATCTTCTCGACGTGGTAACATATAATGTGTATTATACTCAGTTATTGAACCTTAGAAGAATAAGAGAAAAAAATATATAGGTGTTTAGATAGATAGTCTTACTCGTCGATTGAGTAGAATCAGTATTAAATATACGATCCTTAAGGAATGGCATTGTTGTTCTTGTACTTTCTTTTTCTTTTATTCCTTTTAAATGAGTTAGAAGTCCGTGTGTGTTTTTTTTATATTCTTTTATTGCGCTTTACTCAACTTAAAAAAAAAAAAGAAATCGTTGATAGAAAAGAAAGAAAAATCATATTTATGTATATATATGATATGCTTGACAAAAAAAAAGAAATGTTTTTTTCTTCTTAACAAGAATAAAATGTCTAAATTGGTTGCTACCACTTATGGTTTTGAGTCTTTTTCAGTAATCATCACGGGTAATGAAACGCAAGCAACTTCGCGTCCTTTACCATCGATTAAATAATATCGCATTTGATTGATTTTAACCTGAAATGAAATTTTTCATAGAATCAGAAAGAAAAATATCTATTTCTAACATACAGATGGATATGTTGGACTAACAAACATACTATTATGATATGAATAAGGATGATCGATTTTAAGTGGACAACCACCAAGTAATTGACAAACATCATGATTTGGTAGAACAAAATCATGATCGATTGTACCTATTGTTGCTGTAACTTTAGCGCGTACTTTATGAGCTTTCTTACCTAATAGAAAGTAGTAGTTAGATTATTTTATTTTTTGTAAAGTTTATTATCTTACGTAATTTAAATGTAAATTCAAGACGAGCATCAGTACCCTTATAAAATGTACAATATTCTTTACCACATGGAGCATTTACTGAAGCTTTTAGAACTTCACCAGTTCTTCTTGCTAGAAAACAAAAGATAAGAAAAAACACAACAAAAAACAATAAACATACATGAACATTGTTTAAATGGATGTTGTAATTGAGATGCACAAATAGTTAAATTAAGTAGAAAGAAAAGAAATAATGTTAATCGATTACAAGTCATTTTATTATAATACAAAATGATCTTGTGTGTATGTCTGGTTATAACTAATTCAACTGATAAACAAAACGAGTAGTTACTTTTTGTATTTATACATTCTGAAACTATCTTATCTCTATAAAGAAATGCACTTCTGTATTATATTCTTTTCTTGTTTTTTTTCTTCTCAATGACGTATTGTATAACATACAAATGAAGATATATGAGATAAGTGTTGTTAACATATTTATCTCAATCGATTCGCACTTAGAAAAACGAGAATAATCTAAAACTACGTCTAATGATTATTCTATTCGCCTACATAGATATGAAAACGAATAACCTTCATTGTAAAAGTACTTAACATACAAAATTTCTATATATATATTTCGTCATAATTTTTCTAGATGAATGACGCAACAACAATCCTATCAAATCATACAAAAAAATATAATATACCATTAAATCATATAGAACATAAATATATAGAACATTGTACAGATGGAATTGAACTTGAACGTATATATAAAGAATTAATGTAAAATTAAAGAATTCTTCTAACTTAATCATATATTTATGTGTATATGTTAATAGCGGAGGAGAAGTAGGTCCATATCCATTATTGGAACAATTGACACTTGATCGAATTCGAAATATTGAACCCAATAGGTAGTAATAGAAATAAATAGAAATGATAGGAAAAACTAAATATTTTTTTTTCTAGTGAAATACTTCAACAAGGAAAAGTTCCATTTGTTAATTCACAATATACGGATAATATTTCTTCTCTTAGAAATACTATTAATGATAAAGATGTATGTATTAATTTCCTATAGAAAAAAATATATTATCTCATTATTCTCCATAGACTAATAGAACTTCATCAATATCTGTGATAAATAATGATAATCATGAAATACTACCAAAAAGTGATACAGAATGGAAAGAGTAAGTGTATTTATTTATATAAAATAATTTATTTCTTTGATTAATATAGACATGAACAAAACGTTTCTCATGATTTCGATAATATTGATGAAAATGATACTAGTGATGAATCGTATCAAATAAATAAACGTCGTCATATGGCTAGACAACATCGTTTAAATGGAAATACAGCATTTTATTCAGATGATTATCAACAATCTATTGATTTATATACAAAAAGTCTTTCACTTGATGAAAATATATTTACTTATTATAATCGTGCTATAGCATGTATGTTAATATTAAACTATTTTATTATTAAATTTTTATTATTCATATAGATTTTAAATTAAATGATTATAATGCTTCAATTCAAGATTGTTTTCAAGTATTAAAAATTAATGCAGCACATATTACAGGTTGATTCAAAGAAGTCTTTATTATATTTATTGTATTCTTCTTTTTTAGCTTTATATCATCGAGCATTATGTTATTGTATTGATCAACAATATGATGAAGGAAAACGTGACCTAGAATATTTACTTACAATTGATTCTGACAATTTTGAAGCACAAGTAAGATACTAATTGATAGTTATTCTTTAAAGATTTTTATGAAATTTACAAAACTTTATAAGTTATGGTCACCTATAGGCGCGTAACCAGACTAGACATGACCCAAACCTAAACTGTTTGAGTTTGGGTTTGTGCTTTTTTAATCTGAAAAAGACACTATTTTTGATACATTGATGGCAATTAAAGAAAAGACTCAAACTCAAACTCAAACTCAAACTCAAACTCAAACTTAAACTCAATACCCAAACTCCCAAACTCCCAAACGGTTCGAATTTGAGTTAGGGATTGGGTCATGTCTAAACCAGACGAGGGCTAGGGGGTCTCAGATCCTATGAAGGGTTTACCTATGCATGCAAAAGATATGAACATGTCTTTCTTATACTATTCCTTATCTTGTGTATTTCGCTGTGATATTTTCAAAGTTAAAAACTGAAATAAGAAAAAATATCGATACAAAATACATTAGCATGCTTGAAATTGGAAGTTCAGTTCAACAATTACTAAACTAATTTAATACAAGGGGGTAAGAGCTGGCACCCATCACCGAAAAACACCGAACAGATGCTGAACGGATGCTGAGGTGTTGGGCAAGTGCTGAAGTGCTGAATAGATGCTGAGGTGTTGATCCAAGGGGATAATAGTTGGTACCCAGCATTCAGCACCTGTTCGGTGTTTTTCGGTACTTGTTGCCAGCTCTTATCTCCTTGGCTGAGGCGCTGAGCAAGTGCTAAGGTGCTTGGTGCCAGCTATTACCCTCTTGATTTAATATCAATGAGCATAGTTTCAAATAATCTTAGAGTATCATATATCAATTTGATTGCATCATTTTAGATTTTTCATAAAATATAAATCATAAAAATAATAGTTATACTTCATGTCTATAGCATTTTAATATTTTCTATATTTAGCATTTATTAAATAGAATTATACTTATGAAAAAGACACCTAGTAATCATGAAGTAATTAATATACAATCAATTGTAAGTAATATTTATTTAATTTAATAGAAATATTAAAAGAATTTTTATTAGATTAAATCTTTGAAAGATACATCTATCCATCTTGAGGATGAACATATTAACTATAATACAGCTTCTTCTATGGATATGAATATTGCCTTTTATGAAAATGCTAATTCTGACCATGATAATCATAATATAGATCCATTTCATACATCATCTTTAAATGAATATGATGATGAAGATATAGCATTGGGTGATGAAGCTGGTGCTAATTTTGTTACAAATTTAAGTGATGATGATGGACGTGATCCACGTAGTTTAAATGTTTCACCAACCATGGACGATGATGCTGATGTACCTGCATTAATCAACCTTAGACCTTTAGAAACACCACCAATAACACCATTATTAGAAAAATCTAATACGATTGATCATAGTATTGCAACTGCAGCTAATAAAAATAATGAACCATATCATCTTCCTACTATTTCACGCACTACAACAAGTGAAAATGATAATAGCGCATATAATGATTATCATAGACCATCAACATCACATCTAGGCAGTACAGTAAGTATCAACATAATTCTTGAGATATTTTTTGAATTTTTTGTTTATTAAATAGAGTACTTTATTACCATGGAAAAATAATAATGATAGATATATGCAAAATACAGCGAATGATGATATGGTACAAATTTCAAATTTTAGTTCTTTAATTCAAAGTTGGTTACATGATTCAAATAGTTTACAATCAAATCGTCGTTCATTATCAGTTTCTGATCGACCATGGTCATTGAATTCAATTCAACGTGATATTGAACAATTTCATCGTATGTATAAGTATAAAAATGCTATTGAAGCATCAAAAAAAATGCTTCAAAATGGTATTCTTGGTAATAAAAATCTATAAAAATATTAATAAAAATAATCTAATTTAATTATATTTAGATTATCATCATCATGCAGAATATATTAGTAATACATTATCGATGTGTTCGGAATGTTATTTAAAACTAAATGATTATAGACATGCTATTCAATATGCTACAGAAGCGTTACAATATAATAAAATGGATAATGATGCATTATTTTGTCGAGCTGAAGCATTTGAAAAAGAAAAATTGTAAGTATTGCAAAATATTAAAATAAAAATAATTTTCTAAAAAAGATTTTTTTTTCAGTTCTCTTTTCAGTTATGCAGATTATACACGTATATCAAAGAATAGTTTTCACTGTAGTACAGCACAACGTGCATGTAACAAGTAAGTTTCTTTCTTTTACATATCGAAATGTTAATTGTAAGATTTGCTACGAAAATGCTCACATGTTGTCATTGACCAGTCTCGCTGTTTGTTCTAATAAATTTTCTCGTATTTTCCTTCGTCTTCTTCTAAAATCGTTTCGTCGATTAGCTATGGTGTGGGTGTGAGTATGGGTTTGGGTTAAGAGAGGATACGTACCTACTTAGAGATGTGCGGAACCAACCTTTTAGGTCCCGGTAAATTTTCTTTTATTAGGTCCCGGTCTCGGTCTCGATCCCGGTCTTGGTAAATTTTTTTCAGTCCCGGTACTAGTCCCTGTAAAGCTTTTCTTTTGATTCCAGTCCCGGTAAAGTTTAAGTTTTCAGTCCCGATCCTGGTCCTGGCAACTGGGATCGGGACCAGCACTGGTCCGGCACATCTCTAGTACTCACACCCATTGAAATCAAATAAATATTCCATCATCAACATCAAACACGATTTTTTTGATCATGCAACATTTTACCGTTCGACGTTTAACATACATACCGATTGTAATGCTCATCGTCGAAAATAAGATCGTCGAAGTGAACTTCATCGAAATAAAGATTATCGAACTTCGATGATGTCGCTTTTTAACGATCTATATTTCGACGAAGAGCATACTGATCATAATTGATTCTATTCTATAGACTGTTCGACTAAGTTCTAGAAACGGAAAACTAATTACATAGACAGAAATAATTGTACCTTATTTTTATACTGAAAAATAGAACGTAAAATACGGTTTAGTTATTCGATTATTATTGTATACATAATTATTCATCGAAAATTAATCTTCTATCCTGTTATTATTAATCATTATTCTAAAACCAAAGTCACGTGTTTTATCTATGAGATTTCCTTTTCGTTTGTAGTTCATTTGAATTGAATTCATTTGAAGTATATATTTCATTTTTATTATCAAATATAATACTATATTGAATAATTTCATTTTTCCATTTGTCATAAATCATTTGTCGATGTTTATTATTTAATTGTTGAATTAATTTATCTTGTTGTCGAGTTTTAAATGGTATTGAACCCATATTTATATATTTAGATTATCAATAGAATTAAATTCTAATGAAGCTGAAACATGGCGGGAAAAATTACCAACTGATCAAAATGATGATGAAAGTTTTTTAACTTATTTAAAACATCAAAACACATTTGAAGAAAATAATGCATATCATTGGTATGAAAAATATGCTGAAGAATTTTATTCTGATGCTTGTTTTGTTCTTGCTATTCGATATTATACATATTGTATTGAATTACAATCAAATAATATTTCAATTTATTTAAAACGAGCATCATGTTATTTAAAAGTATTTGAGGTAAAGAAAAATTAACAAAAAACAAAACAGAATAAATTCTAATTGATTTATTTTAGGCACAAAAAGCAATAAATGATTGTGATTTCGTATTAAAACAAGATAAAACTAATATTCTTGCTTTATATTATAAAGCATCTGCTTATAAATTATCTCATGATAATCATTCATATGAATTAACATTAAAAGAATACATTAAAATTGAACCACATAATCAAATCGTTCTAGCAGAATATTATACATATCGACGTGAACAAATTCCACGAAAAAAACGACGAATACGAATAAATTCTATATCATCAAAAGTTAATAATGAAGATCAACTTACGTATGAACAAATTGAACAAATACGTTGTGAAGAAATATTTCCGAATTCATCAATTGATTTAGAAAATATTACTGATATTAAAGAACAATGTTCATTTATTCTTCATTCATTTCAATTAATAACTTATCCAACAAAAAAACTTCTTGAAATTATTATTCATATTTGTCGAATAATGCTTCGAGCTGAAGATTTATATCGAAAGAAAAATGCAACGGAAGAAGTACCATTTTCTTATGTTCGATTTTGTTTTGATATTCTTGTTCAATTAACTGAATTTTCACAAATTGATATAGCGTTATTAATGATTGATCAACATTCAAGAAAATCACTTGATCATTTAATAGATTGTTATTCAGAAGAATATAATGATAGTGAAAAACTTAACCGGTTAAGAACTTCGTGAACTTTAGATATTTTCATTTCTTTTTCATTTTATTTATATAGATTGAAAATAAAATTTTATTTTTAAACAAGAATTTAATAAATTTTGAACGTTAGGAGAGGATTGATTTTACTATTTAACAGTTCAATAATATTTTTTTTTCACCAAATTTATTTATTTTAGACACTGAACTATAATTAATTCATGTTATCTTAATGAATTAAATTTCTGAATGGAAATGCTACATCGGAAACGATTAAACTTGATATTAGACCAACTTTTCAAATATTGCAATCATTTAGTTCTATGAGTACACTACGATGTTCTGCATATGTCTTATGATTATGATCCCTCTATGTAAAAAGTAGTTTTGGATGCGTATCTGCTGCTGAGTATTAAATGCTCCTTCAACTAGTCTTCGCGTCTATACGATGCATGATAGCACTTTGATATGGTTTTATGAATAATAAGTAATATGAATCCATATTACGCAATTTTACATCAATACTAAAACGACCCAGGTCGAATAATCAGATAGCAAGATCTTGTAGGAATCATATTTGATCTGATCGAAGTAGACCAGGATCGGAGAAAAAATCGTAGTCTCTGATTTCTTGCACTAAATCGTACTTAAAAATTCTTGTAAGATTCTGTTATGTGGTACAATGTCACTAAAATATTTCATTAAAGCTAATATCTTCGTAAAATCTTACTGAAAAATACCGACGCGTCAGATCTTTGAAGAAAATATGGTCTGAATTGATGCAAGATTTCAGAGACTACAATTTTTTGTCAGATTCTCGTAAGATTTCGTTTATAGTACAAGATCTTATAAGACTTTGCAAGATCTGATGTCAGATTTTTTGATCTGGGCGATGACTGTTATATTTTCAAGAGAAAAGGTTAGTCAAATAAGCAATTTAATGTTTCTTATCAATTATTGATATTATGAAACGTATGAAAGGAGAAATGATGAAGGTATTCGATAAGTGACTCAGAATTGTATGATTAATCATTGGACATTAAGTAATATATTACTCACTATTCTTTTATGTATGTTTAGTTGTTTTCTAACATTAGATTATTATTCATGTTTCATTATCTATTGTAGAATTATATAAATCTACAAAACTAGTATATTACATTAAAAAAATATTAAAAATATAAGTTTTATGATTGTATTGCACTATAACATATTGAATACTGTTCTTTGACTTTTACAGAGAAAAATGACAACAGTTGAATAAGATCGTACGCAAATAAAATATTGCGAACATTGATAATGAATATTATTATTTAAATTATATTTACTTTCTCGATCGATAGATCATAAAGTGCAAAGTACTATTCAACACCTGTTTTGCCAGGTATCTTTTTTTCTTCTTGAAAGGGAAAAAATCATTCTTTACTGTTTGTATTATGAACGATGTTCATCGGGAATATAGTATTTGTTCAAAAGTAAGAATCAAGGTTAGAAAAGCACTAACTGTTTGTTATTGTTTTATTACGGTTGTTCTAGCTTTATCCGGACTGCATTTTTAAGTTCATTTTTTAACTACTTCTTAATAATAAAAATAAAAGAGTCAGTAACAAAAAAAATTTATATAAGAAATGTCGAAGAAATTGTTGAATAAAATTTTTTATCATGAGCTGGTCTTTTTGCTGATAGTTGATATAACTTCATCAAGTAAGTGTTCTGTTTGATTGTTTTCTTCTTCAGAAGTTCTTTTACTTCGCTCTAATAGGTAGAGAATCTCTTATAGTCTAAAATAATATGATTAGAATATGGAGAAACATAGATAATTATATTAATTTTTGATTTCATAAAGCAATAAAATGGTATAACGCATATTTACAACTAGTAATCTATAAATTAGCCATTGAATTTACTTGCAATAAATCAGATGAAGACAAACATTAACATAAAAATATAATATTATGATTTAGAGTTGAGTCGAATTCTGTAAAACAATGATGAATACTTATATGAATTTATTTATCTTTTGTAGCTATTTCATTTAACCAGCCTACATTTTGTTCTCTTGCAACTTGGGAAACAAATGGGACAGTTTTTGCAAACAGTACTTTGCTTGGACTCGACTCATTAGATTTGTTTATCGATACTAATAACACCATATATGCAACAAGTCCCTTGAATAAACAAGTTCTTGTTTGGCTTGAAGGAAGTTCTGCTCCGGTTAGGATTATTTCCAATAATTTAATAGTATCTTATGCTCTTTTTGTAACAAATAACGGAGATATTTATACCAATAGTGGTGGAGATGGTAAACGTATTGACAGATTGTCTGTAAACTCAACGATTGGTGTTCCCGTTATGTATACTAATGGAATATGTTATGGATTATTTATTGATCAAAACAATAATCTTTACTGTACTAGTCCTTTCGAAAATATTGTCCTAATGATTCCACTTGACAATAGTACTAACACAACAGTGATAGTTGCTGGAAATACAACTTGTGGGCCATCCGCAAACACACTTTGTAGACCTTATGGAATATTTATTGATTCGAACTTTGATTTATATGTAGCAGATACTGCCAATAGCAGAATTCAACTTTTCAGATCTGGACAAATGAATGCGATAACAGTGACTGTAAATGGAACCTCAAACGGTATTTTATTATTTTACCCAACAGGTGTTATGATTGATGGTAATGGATATTTATATATTGCCGATATGGCAAGTTATAGAATTATTCGCTCTGGGCCAAATGGTTATAATTGTGTGATTGGATGTATAGGGACAAGTGGATTAGCTTCTAATCAGCTCAATCAACCATACAAACTTACTTTTGATAGCCATGGCAATATATTTGTTTTAGGTTACGTCAATAGTCTCGTTCAGAAATTTATGTTGGCAACAAATTCGTGTGGTAAGTTCAATAGATTATTACCGATAGTAATTTAGAATAATTGAAAAGAAACACAGGTATCTAAGTACTTCGAGTTACTTATGTCAAATTTATTTAACTTCAAAATTCTATGCTACATGCTCTTGACATCTTATTTAATAAGCTTGTACGATTGGATTACATACAAACTAACTTTTGTACTTATTAAAAGCTTCTATTATCGTACTTGTAATAAGCAATTCAATAGTTAAGAAACTGAAAAATTTATTACATGGTTTTACTCAGTAAAATACTTGATGTTATTTATACAGAAAATTATACGAAGTCAGTATAAATAGACGATATTTCGAATCCTTTTTTTTAGAATCAACTACTATGATGACACCGCTTGATACTACAATTATGAATGGTATCATTTCCTTGTCCTTCGTATCTAATTATTTCATTCTATATTTCTCTTTCTAGTTCGCACATCATCATCTATTTTTTCTCCATTATTATGTTCTAATACAGCATATATGGGTCTTAATTGTAGTATCTCTAGTAGTCTATGTGATATACTTCAACCATGTCAAAACAATGGTACTTGTCATAACACTAATCAAAATTCTCTTGGTTATATTTGTTCATGTCCATTGCATTTCAATGGTACTTATTGTCAATTTGATGATCGACCGTGTCAGCCAAATACTTGCGTCAATAATGGTAAATATTTTCTCTTTCTTAATGCATATAGAAAATTATTAAAAGTACTTATTTTTTTTCTTTAGGTATATGCTCCGAAATGTCAAATATAACCTTTATGTGTAAATGTGCAATCGGATGGAAGGGTGATCGTTGTGAAACAAAGATTAATTATTGTGCAAACATAACATGTCTGAATAATGGTGTTTGTCGACCATTATTGAGTACATATAAATGTGAATGTCTGGGACAAAGTTATTCTGGAGAATATTGTGAAAAATCAACAAATAGCCTGGTTGTTCATCAAGTAATTTCAAAATCATTTGGATATATAGTAATTATTGCTCTAATAATCGTTGCCGTATTTATCACGACTTTAGATATATTAAAATATTTTTTTGGTATTGGTCCAGTACGTAAAAACTTGAAAGGAAAGAAAAAAATTAAAAAGTCTAATCCTCAACTGGTAATACGAGTTATATACATGAGTTAAACATAATAATCACAAGTGCCATTTTTTGATTATTTAAAAAACAGTTATTTAAAATATCGATTTAATATATGTATCATTTTAAAATAAATTATTCATGAAAGAAAGAATTATAATAGAATAAATATAATATTAGTTATGTTAACAATTTCTAAAAGACAACAACGAGGACTAATTAAAGAATATGTATATAGTTTAGTGAAGCTACAATTGTTCCCTTGTAGCTGTTAAAAACAACTTATATACCGATCATTTGGATACAGACAAGTTGTTTACTACTGAAATAAATTATAATGTCTAAAAATAATCACGATTCATCCTTACTGTATATGTATTACAAGTACATTATGATGAAAGCTTCTTGTTTTCTTTACGATAAAGATTTCTATGATTGTATCAACAAAATAATTCGAATAAAAAAAGTGCCCATGGAGTCGATGTAAATGTTTACTTGATAAAAGAAAAGTATTTTATTGATCACGTGAAAAATTTCTAAAGAACCAAAAATCGCATGATTAATACATAAATTTACTAATACGAAACAAGTCATGTCTTGTTAGGAATATTATTTTATTAATGAATACAGTGAAGTATCTAGGTAGTTACATATTTATCAAGAGTATTACTCATAACTAAAATAAGGAATATTTTTTTTCTACTAAGAATTTATCAATTTGATAATTAATACACTATTAGTAATGAAAAGAAATTGTTTAAATTACATATTTATTTATTTTTATATAAAAATAATCAAGTACATATGGAATGTGAAAATCACCGTTTATTATATTCATCTGACATAAAGAATAAAACATTTTTCAAAGAAATTAAGCTTCTTAAATCACATCTATTTGACGATTTTTCGCTTGTTTTCTTATTATTTTTGCTAGAACTGTAAATGCACTCTTCAAACCATCTCCTGTTAATGCACAACAAGGAATAATATTAAATGTTCCATTATACCATTGATTTAAATCAAGTTTTTCTATTAAAATATCAGTTGATAATGCATCAGTACGATCTTGTTTATTAGCAATAATAACTAATGGAACATTTTTCATCGTATCATGATGAAAAATTCCTTTTAATTCAGCTTTGGCAAGAGAAAGTCGATTGCGATCAGTTGAATCAATAACAAAAACTAAACCATCAACATTATCAAAATAATGATGCCATAATGTTCGTAAATGATCTTGACCACCAACATCCCAAACTGTTAAAGTTATTCCATGACATGGAGATATTGTTTCAACATTAAAACCTTTGAAAAAGAAAATTAGTTTGTCTTAAAAAAGAATATTATTATTTCTCTTGAACATACCAACTGTTGGTACAGTACTATAATCTTCTGTATGTTTCATTTGATAAAGTATTGTTGTTTTACCCGCATTATCCAAGCCAAGCATAAGAATACGTTTGGGTCCATCAGCTGATAATTTTTTTAAAACCTTTGATAAAAGTTTACCCATTTTCTGTCTTTTTTTATCAAAGCAAATATATGTAAGTTATAAAACAAAAATTACGATTTTTATACCAAAAAGAATTTGTGTTGTTAGTCAATAGTAAATGTTGAGAACGCGAAAGAAAACGATCGAGAAACAGCTGTGTCGTATGTAAGAAAAACTATTACTGTTGATAATAAAATATGTTAATCATCAAAGTCTATTCAATTCTATTATTGCACAGGTGTGTGCATTATAGTAATGCAGATGAATGAATCATAAGTAACAAAGAAGAGAGAGAGAGAGAAGAAAAAAAAGAAAAGTAGTAATGTTGATGATGAAACGATGTACATTAGTCAACAAATATTCTCGTCGTTGTGTAAATGTAATTGAATAAGAGTAAAATGGAGAAAAGAATAAGAATAATGGATTTCATTCTTTTATCACGCTTTTACCTATATATATATATAGATAAGTATTATTTTTGACACATCATTGTTTTTATTGTCCGACAATGAATGAACTGATGATTTAAGTATTTGACCTAAGCGGACAGACAAGATGTCGAGACTATTGTTCATTGTGTATATGAAAATGCATATAACTTATACTTCAATAAATTCTTAATATACAATTTCATTTTATAATAACATTTATTTTTAATTAACATTATAAAGACCTATATGATTTGTTACCTGTGAATAAGAATATATTTGACTTTTTAAATATATTTTTGTTTCTATTATCAAAGAAGATTTAAATTCAATTGCTAGAAAATATAAACGAGCTACTTGAGACTGATGATATTCAAGTGTTTTTATCAATAATTGAAATCAGTATTTAAAAATATGCCAAACATTTAAATATATATCGCATGATCTAGAAAGTCTATTTCCATGAATCATGTAAATGTTAATTGAATTACGTTATTGGAATTTATATTAGGCAAAATGACATATATAGAAGCATTTTTGTTCTTTTTATTCTTCTCAATGAACAGAGGTCTCTACTTGATAATGATTGGTTAAAAAATATACAAATAAAAAAAATGACAACAGAGTCAACCGTATGAAGTCATAATAGTATAAGTTACGCTCAAGTTTTTTCTATTGAACGAAAAAAAAGGAAAAATTCTTTTAATGAACTATTAATATAATAAATAACAATGAATAATAATAATGATGATGATGATGATAATTATCCTGGAAAACTTCTACATCAAGCTGCACTTTATTTAAATGTTGATCTTTTAAAAGTAAGAATTAGAATAAAAATTTTAAATTAATAATTTTTTTTCTCCCGATAGGATCTATTAACAGGTGATGAAATTAATAATATTGATGCAACTGATCGTTTTGGTTGTACACCATTACATACAGCATGTATATCAGCTTCACAAGCAACACTTCAAAATGATACGAAAGTTCTTGATTCATCATTAGAATTTATTATGGTACTTATTGATCATGGTGCTGATTTGAATATACAATCTGGTGAACGTTATGATTATAAAGTAAGAATTAGATTGATTATTTTTATTATCATATAAGCACGTTTTGTCATCGTATGACAACGTTTCGTTCTTTATTTAAACAGTTGTCTGCTATTTGAATAGATCGAGAAAAAAAATGTATAAATATAAAGATGTAAAAAAAAAGGACATATTCTTGTCATATAATAAAAGAAATGAAATCGTTTGTACTCCCTTTTTTCCTGTTAATAACAAATCATTTTATACAAAGTCAACAATTTATTATTGGTTGTTATTTTACTAATTGGTCACAATATCGATCAAGTTTTGGATATTTTGATCCATCCTATATTGATCCATCACTATGTACACATCTTTATTATGCATTTGCAAATATTAATATTAAAACTCGAAGTCCAAGTCCATTTGAAATTAATGATATTCAATCCTTATCAAAAGGAATGTATGAACAAATAAATTTATTGAAAACTAAAAATCGTCGAATGAAAACTCTCTTAACATTAGGTGGTGCATCAGTAAATTCGACACAATTTCGAAATGTTTTTCAACATGATAAAATACGCCGTGAATTTATACGAAATACAATAAAATATTTACGAAAATATAAATTCGATGGTCTAGATCTCGATTGGGAATATCCAATAACAGAAAAAGATCGTCAAATTTTTTCATTAATTGTTCGTGATTATCGATTAGAATTTCAAAATGAAGCTTCTCTAACAAATCGTACACGACTTCTATTAACAGCAGCTGTAGCAGCATATCAACCAAAAATTCAAGCTGGATATGATATTCAAGAAATATCATTATTTCTTGATTATATCAATTTAATGACTTATGATTATCATGGTTTGTTTATTTTGTTCTAAAAATTGATAATCGTATCAATTTTTTAGGTAGTTGGAATTCTTATATAGGTTTTAATAGTCCGCTATATCCACGTTCAACTGAAATAGATGATCAACGTTTTCTGAATCAACAAGCAACAGTTAATACTTGGCTTGAGGGTGGTTGTCCATCATCAAAGCTTATTCTTGGTCTTGGAATGTATGGACGAACATTTAAACTAAAATCGAAAACAAATCCTGATATTAAACCATATGCACCATCGATAGGTGCTGGTTTACCTGGTAATTTCACTCGTAATAGTGGATTTTTATCCTATTATGAAATATGTGATCTTATAAAAAAACAAAATTGGTCTACGAAATACGATAAAGAACAACAAGTACCATTTGCATATAAAAATGATCAATGGGTTGGTTATGATAATCAACAATCGATAGAACAAAAATGTTATTTTATTGCTAAACAAAATTTAGCTGGTGCAATGATATGGTCTCTTGATTTAGATGATTTTCATGGTAGTTTTTGTAAACAAGGAAAATATCCTTTATTAACAAAAATTAAAAAAACATTGGAATTACTTCAGAAACCAATACGAGCTCCTAAAACAACTCCGAAAAGCTTAATTAATATAGGAATAGATAGAAATTTTCATAGAATTCTTTTTTTTATGAATTTGTATTTTGAATTTATTTTAATATATTTCTTTAGACGCCATTACATATGATTGCTGAAGTAGGCAATGAAAAAATCTTAGCTTTATTATTATTTCATAAAGCTGATGTAACAATAAGAGATAAACATGGTTATACACCATTAATATCAGCACAAATAAATCGTAAAGTTGATACAGTTGAAATGATACAAAATGAAATTGAACTTCGACAACAAGTTCGACAAGAAACAGAAAAGAGTAAAAGAAAAAAAATTTAATACTTAAGAAAACAAAAAGAAATTATCATTTGATTTAGAATTACTTGATGCTTGTTTTGATGGTGATGTTGAAAAAGCAGAAGAATGTCTTGCTCATTTGGGTGCACATGCTAAAGCAGTATTAAATTCAAGTCCAAATGGAAGTGATACATTGAATTTTCTATATAGAGCATGTCGAACAGGAAATGTTGACTTAGTTAAATTATTATTAAAACATGGGGCAATTGCAAAACCACATCGTCAAACATCTTATTCTCCACTTTATATAGCTTGTCGAATTGGAAATCTTGAAATTGTTCAAATGATTTTAACTGTAAGAAAAAATATATAATTGATATCTTTTTTTTATTCACTTCTCTTTTTGTTTTCTTAGCATTTTCCACATTTAGTTTGTGTTGCAACACTCGAACAAATTCTTCCATTTTCTGCTGCTTGTTCACAAGGTCATCTATCTATTGTACAACTTTTATTAACATATCCAAATTATCCATTTGCATCATGTAGTATTTATGTTGATCGCTTACAACGATCATATGTTTTTCCATTTAATCTCAATGGTAATAATTGATTTTGCTGTTTTAATTCAATTATTCCGAATGCTTGAGTCAAGTTACGGAATGATTTAATTTAAAACAAAGTATAGTGTTACAAATTTATAGTACGGAAGCTCAGGAGAATAAAATTTATGAGTGAATTATAATTGTAGCTTATTCAATCATTATTATTCTACAAAACTGAGATTTAATTTTGTCCGAATGTATTGATTCTTATTGAATTTGTTTATATGATTCAATCGAATTCTAGCAGTAATGACTCTGTCTGACGGACCTAAGAATATAGCGATGATAGTAGTTTTCTGATTGTAGCAACATTTCATGTTGATAACTGATCCTTCTCAATTCTGCATCTCATCAATGTTTACATACCCATCCCATCTAGTTAGAGATATTCAGTTAAAGTTTCAAAAATAAACAAGACTTCTTTTTTTCTAACAAAACATTATAACTATGAAGTTTTAAACTTAATGAATAGTATCAATTGCATATTGTTGCTATACACTTTTTTGATTATATGGATTAATATGTCGTATAATACTTATTTTAATATATCTTTAAGCTAAATTACAATATCCCAGATTAAGTTTCTATATAAAGAATAAATGAAGACTTGCTATACATATACATATAAGAATTTTATTTAGCACAAGATTTGAATGATCAAACAAGTTTATATTTATCTGTACTTGGTAAACATATTGATGTTGTTGAATATCTTCTTTCCTTTCGTGTTTATGGATTAACTTCTGAAGAAGTTGAACTTTTCAAACGTCGATCAATACATAGTTATTTTACTTCTGAACGTTAGTATACATATATATATATATTTTAAATAGATAATTCAAATTACTTTCTTTTGTAGATTCTATAGTAACTCTATCAGAATTTAATACAACTTTACAAAAACTTAGTTCACCATTTTGTCCATTTAATCTTGATATTTATTCGAATAATGGTCGAACAGCCTTACATGAAGCAATTGAACAAGAAAACTTTCAATTAGTTCATTTACTTATATCAAATGGTGCTAATGTTAATTTACCATATGAAGAAATTACAAGTCGATCATCAAATGATGAACAATGTTTTATAACACGTTCAACATCATTATCATGTGCATGTCGTCTTGGTAATATACAATTAATTGAATATCTTCTTAATTCTCATGCAACTGATAAAGAATTTCTTGCATATAATTCATGTAAACAATCATATCTTATTGGACATTTACTTAAGTATCGTGTTTTACAAGATAATGAATTTAAATTAACAAAACGACAATTAACATCAAATGTTTTATATTCATTTGATGAACAATTTTGGTCAAATATTGATTTAACTAAAATTTGGATAAATAACAATGATGAAAACAAACTTGATAATAATAATAATATATCCGCCGAAACGAATTATTCTATAGAACCTATGTTTAAACGACGTTCAACTAAACGATATCAAATATTAACAACTGGTTTTGAACAAATTAAAAATCGTTTTACAACACGTTCAGTTTTAACAACAAATCATATACCATTATCATCACCTATTCCATCAGTACCAGTTGGTATTCAATGGCATCATTATGGTCCATTGAAAACTCTTGATCCTCTATGGTTTATTCAAGCATCAATATTTGTTAATAAAGATAGTTTTACACAATTATCAGATATCACAACAACAAATCGTCATTTACTTTTACATTGTATAACACGCATTGATTTATCTGATAATTCATTAGAATATTTACCAGGATTTCTTTTTCAAATGTATTCATTAAGAATATTAAATGTATCAAATAATCAATTAGGAGAATTACCAAATGATAATAATGTTTGGTTATGTCATCAATTAGTTGAATTAGATGTTTCACATAATGCTTTAACTTGTTTACCATCAGCTATGTTTCAACTTCGATCTTTACAAAGAGCTTATGCAGGTAAATAAATACATAGTTAAGTGAGACATAGTCAATTATCATATCAACACTTGTCTACTTTATATATTGATGATATTAGAACTAAGTGTAACTTCCGTATTGTTTTACTTAGCTTTGTTCTATATCATTATCGATTACATTAAGTGACATGATACTACAAAAGAATAGTTTTGTTAATGTTATGGAAGTCCATTGAAAAGCATCAATGGATTATTTTTCCGTTTCCTGTATGTCTATTGTTTAAGTATCGAATGTAATCGATCATTCTTTTGTACTTATAACATGTAAAACAATCAATATAAACTCTATGATTAAGAAACTATTGATATGTCATATTGTATAATCATAGAAAAAGAAATTATTTTTAATATTTCAATAATTATGAAAACTTAAATTAGGAAATACCTACTACTAGTTTCTAGATAATGTTCATCAATGATTAGTACTTGTCAGATCTAAATACAAAAGTTTTATATTTAATAGACTCTCATTCATAGTAAAGATCAATTCTAATATGATTATTATCAAAATTGTTTGAGAAATATGGACAATAAGTTAGTCACGGACAAAATCACATGAACAAAAAATACTATGATGTCAATTAACTATTTACACTAATGAAACGATTTCATTGAATTATTTCTTGCAACCACTCAGAATAATATAAAATTCCATTGTTATCTATTTTAGCTCATAATCAACTTCAATATTTACCTGTTGAAATGTGGTCAGCACCAATGTTAACTGATTTAAATGTTGCCAATAATTCTTTAAAAGAACTTCCAGCACCAAGTGTTGTTTCTGTTAGACATACTGAAAAAGTCGGACGACATATGACATGTATATTTAAAAATAAAAAATATTCGATTAACAAATACTATTTTTGTTTCTTTTATTAGCTCGACATTCAGGTAATCAAAATCGAACAGCTAGTGAATTACGTCCACAAATTATATTAAGATCTCCAACTAAACAAAATTTTGATGAAATAAAATCTCCAACAATATCATCTTCAATGACAACAGCTAATTTATCTCTTCTTTCTGCTCCTTTATCAGCTCCACCACGTTCAACAACATTTGCTCAAATATCAACAAATGATATGCCACCATCTCCTGATGATGATGATGAACTTGAACGACGATCAAAGCTAAAAATGGCCTATGAAAATTCTCTTCCATCTGCACCATTATCTATTCCTGTAAAACGTTTATGTCTTTGGCAAAATCATATAACTCAATTGACTGATGATGATCAACAACCAGCAACAAATATTAAATCAACATCATCATCATCATCGTCGTCATCATCTACACAAACAAGGAGTCGATTAAATAATTTAAATTTATCTTATAATCATTTTGAAATTCTACCACCAATGCTTTGTTGTCTTGTACCATATTTGACATCTCTAAATCTTTCTCACAATCTTCTTACTGATCCATCAACAATATCATCATATCCTCCACGTTTAAAAATGCTTGATTTATCATTTAATCGTCTTCAACATAGTATTCTATCGAAATCATCATCAAATACACCCCGAAAAGAAAAATTATCTCGAAAGAATCGTCATGATGAAACGATACCATCGGAAAATATTTGTTTTCGTCCAGAATTAAAAGAATCAAGTGCACAATTAGATGCTGCTAAAAGACGTCGAAGTCGATCAGTATCTCGTCATAAAATTCTTACATCAACTAGTCTAACAATTGGAATGAATTCATCATCAAAATCAGAACATACAGATCAATGTTGTAATCATAAGCGTCATATAAAACTTGAATTTTTGCACGATTTAAATTTAAGTGATAATCTTATTGATGAACTTATTTTATTAGTAAGAAAATACTTATTTTTATTCAAATTAATTTTTCTAATTAATTATTTTCAGTCAGACTCAAAACTTACATCTGATATGGATATAACAGTATTACGTTCTTCGTTATTATTTCCAGCAATTACTCGCCTTAATTTAAGTCAAAATAAACTTGTTTCAATTCCAACTAGTATTTCTCTACTGGATAGTCTAGGAACATTAATATTACGTGATAATCAACAGTTAAAAGAAGTTAGATAGACTATTTTTTGTTGACTATAATATGAAAATATTTTACTTTAGATTCCATTATCGATTGGTTCTATGCAAAAACTATGGAATCTTGATCTTCATGGTTGTGGTCGAGTTGTTAAAAGATAACAAATTTAGTTAAGATATATTTTATCATAATAACTAAAAATCAAATATTATTTGATAAATAAACTAAGTTTATTGACATTTTCATTACTATCCTAGCAGTATTTATTAACGAAAAAAAAACGTTTTAGTTATTATGATAAGTATATATTGTATTATAAAAAGGGTTTATTTAATGATTCTATTCTTATAACAGAGTTTATCTCTTTTGTTTTCATAATTTATTGTAAAAACAAATAATAAACATATATACAATCATTTGTGCAATATACATCTTGAATAATATTAGACAATTCTATTCTTTTAGATAACATAATTCATTTAGAAAATGCTTGGTACACAACAATCAACAGGAATGATTGATATAACTAAAGAACCAATATCTTCTTTTATTGCAAATAATTATCGAACAGCTGAAATTATTGCTTATATGAAAAGTCTATGTGATGAGTAAGTTTTTAAATAAAAATTTATTATTATTCCATTAATTATATATTTAGTACAAAAATATACAATAAAATGAGATTAATGTTACTTGGAAATGAACAAACAGGCAAAACATCATTATTACAAGCTTTCAAACGAGAAAGTTCGAATGTGAATAATGCTCAACAAAATCAACGAAAAGTAAATGGAAAAAAATAGATTTTTTCAAGAGAATTAATATTATGAAAAGAAAAAACTTGAATGATTCGCATTCATTTATATGGAAAAGTTTGAGATTGACTATTTTTTTAAGATGAAACAGAAGACGAGGATCGCATATTTAGTTTTTCAATCATGTAGGGTTAGATTTTACAAGCAAATAAGAGAGTAATAGTGGATTTCATTGAAATTTATAATTCAAAAAAAGTTGCTTCATAATATGCGCATAATTAAGACTATCAAACGACAAAGTTAGTTACTTGTCAACTGAACGATTGTTATGAGTAATCGTAAATTCTAAAGATGGTTAGAATAAGATCAGTAAGAAAAGAACATTTTCTAATCGACATCTTTACTGTTATACTCATGATATCTTCTAACTTTGTTTGATTGATGTAAAAAATGATTATTTGTAATGATTTAATTTTTAGAAATCCACAACAACACGTAATTTTCCAATTCTTGATATATCAGAATGGATATATGACAAAACACCTCGTACATCATTAGGTCCAGTTACATTTCGTATTTGGGATTTTGGTGGAGAAGTAATTATACTATTTATGTATATATGAAAAGAAAATTTATTTTCTTTTATTTAGCACGAATTCCAATCAGTTTATCAATATTTTTTTACTCGACGTACACTTTATATAATCTGTTGGAAAATGACTGAATATGATATGAACGAACAAATCTTTGAAACAATCCATAATATTTTAATAAATATTCAAGTAAGTTGTTGTCTTTTTTTTCTATTATTTTATTCCTATGAAATAAATATACTCTTATGCTACAATACCATGAATCATAATAAGAAATTTTAATGTATCATTTTCAATTTCTAATGAAAGTACATCATCAGTTCGATAATTCCATAAACATTGACTCATTATGAAAACTTTATCTTCTTCATTTTTTGGATATGTTATTACTTGAATAATTACTTTATAATTATCTTTAATATGTCGAGCAACAATTCGTTTTAATAGTTCAGTTATTTCATATGTTAATCCTTGAATAGCAGCATCGTCTGTATATTGAAGTTCTTTGATTTCTGGTAAATTAATTAATTCATTTATTTGATCTTTAACAATCTAAAATAAAATAGAAAGTTTAGTTCTTTCTTTCTTTCTTTCAATTAAATACATACTGTACTAAATAAATCATCGGCAAATTTAACAGGAACAGCATACATTTGTTCTTTATGTTGATTCGAATCTAAAATTAACTAATGATAAGAATAAAAGAATGTATAATAAAAAGAAATAACATACGATCGATGGTATTTGAAGATTACTTTAATGGTGCAATAGTCGTCGCCATAAAAATAAAATATTGAATTTTGGGTTTTTTGTCGTTTGAGTGTTGAATATAAAGTATAACAAAGTTGAAATGTCACATTTACAGTACAACCCCTCGTTTTTCTCTTTTTTTTATGTAATTATTGCTTTATTTCTTGTCGTTTTTTTTCATATACGTATGTAAAAGTACGATGAATGACGAAGAAAAAGAGAATGCGTCACCTTTTCACAATAATAAATACTACTACCCAGTTGAGTCTATTAAAAGAAACAAACTTTATAATTAAGTACAATTGAAAAGATTCTATAGAGCTAAGAAGCTCAATTACAAATGTCACATTCTACTAGTCAATGATTAATATATATATTTATAACAGCATCTGTTGCAAAATAATAACACCAGCTTGTATAATCAAACATAAGAGAAGCAGTGAAGAAAAAAGACGAACTTCTCAGTAAATTATTAGTTTTTTTCTTCTTCTTTTGTTCAATAGACTGTTGCACCTGGCTCATCTGTTATTATTGTTGGTACACATCATGATCAAATAGTTAAATTAAAAAATTATCGTCAATTATCAGAAAATTTTCAATCACTTATCTATCAAAAATTTATTGATACATCACAAAATGAAAAATTAGGTTATCCAAAAGTACTTGATTCACTTGAAATTAGTAATAAAACAGGTCATAATATCAAACAACTTTGTACATTAATTCATGATATTGCTGGACAATTATTAGTACCAAATAGTAAAGATCAAACTATATTTCAACAAAGAATACCAGCAAAATATATTTATTTGGAAGAATTATTAGAAGAATATCGATTAAATAAAAAAATATCTATATTAAACGATAAAGAATATCAGTATGAGATTTTGTTTTTATATTAATAGAAAAAAAAAACATGAAATTGTTTTAGAGAATTAATTAAAGAAATATCACAACGAATAAATCATGTTCAATTTCGTGATTCAGCTGATATTCAACAAGCTACAAAATGGTTACATGAAAATGGTAAATTGAAAAGAAAAGATTAGAGAATTTAATACATAAAAATTTTCTAGGAATAATCATACATTTCGAAGATACTCTATTATCAAATTATTATTTTCTTGATCCACAATATCTTGCAGAATTATTAGCACAATTAGTTGCTAATGAACAAACAAATGGTCTTTCAAGACATGGTAAGATGTAAACATAGTTAGATTATTTTTTAGCTAAAGTATTATGTAATTATAACATGCAAGAAATTCATTTTTTTCTCTTCAAAACGGATTTGATATAGCTGTTGAGAAGTCAGTTAAAAATTTTTAAATAAATCTTGAGAGTGGGTGATATATTAACTAGTCATTCACATCTGCATCCTCATTCCAGAATATTCTTAGTCATACCCAATAATTTTAAGACATTCTGTGATATCGATTGCTAAGGTATGTAATGAGAGAAACCGAAAAACTTACATGCGTTTCACAAAATGTAACAAGAATATAAAGATTGGTTATCTCAACATGCTGCTATCAATTTAAATACAACCCTTTCTCATCCGCCATCATAAGTCACTGTAGTGTACTGATGAAATGAATAAAACTTTTTTTTTCTAATTGGATCTCATCGTCAAAGATAGGTGAACCCAGGTCGAGCAATCAGATAGCAAGATCTTGTAAGAATCGTATCTCTGATCACATATGATCGGATGAAGTCAGACAAGGATCATACAAAAAATCGTGGTTCCTGATTTCTTGCACTAGTTCGTACTATAAGAACTGTTATAAGATTCTTATGCAGTACAATGCCACCATAATATTCTACTAAAATTAATATTTTTTCAAAATCTCACTGAAAATTATTACTGAGAAAATACAATGCACGTAAGATATTTTAAGAAAAACGCGGTATGACTTGATACAAGATTTCAGGAATCACGATTTTTTGTCAGATTCTTGTAAGATTTTTTGACCTGGGAAGTCGACCATTCTTCTTTTCTCTATCCACTAGAAATACGAAAAAATTCATAATTAGTATCATTTATACTACTTGGAATGAATTTGTTTAGTAATTGAGAGACATTGTCGTTCTATTTACAATTTACTGATCAATAATCTATATTTAGGACTTATGAAGATTGATGAATTACCTATTACATTTCAAGATGCAAATACTTCTGTAGTCAATAGTATATGCATGCTTCTTCCTTTACTACAAAAATTTGATCTTGCAATTACATGGGATAATCAACATGTTATATTTCCATCATTACTTCCAGTTCAATTAAGTCTAAATACAATTGTAAATATTTTTGTTATTATTTCCTAATAATTTTCTTTATTCTTTTTTTTTTCTTCAGTCAAGTCATTGTCGTGCATCAATTATTTCGACATCAAGTGTTATACAATTTAAACAAACTTCAAATCAACATGAAACTTTAAATATTTTACCAGCTGAAAATTCATCTCCATCAACTTCATTACATTTAAAATATTTAGCACGTATAAAAAAAGATGATGATAATAATCAATCATTTTCATATATTCGTCGTTTTTATCATTTAATTTTTATTCCAACTTGTTTTTGGTCACGTTTATTTACACGTTTAATTGGAGATAAACAATTACAAAAAGCATTTACAAATTATTTTCTTGTTGATTTACAATTAAATAATTCAAATGAAAAAATAAAAAATATTCTTCTAGCTGAATGTTCATGGATTGTTTGTCAAACAGGTTTAGAACTTCGTTATTATGATTGTTGTCTTTTACGAATTAATCAAATTAATTTAACATCATCAACAATCGATGATGATATTTCATATTCATATTTAAATATGATTTTTCAGTTTGATACAGATGAAGAACAAAAAAAACAAATTTTACCTTTTAATGATCAAGGTTCATTAATTGAAATTTTAATCTGCACAAGTGATTTACAAATGGTTATTGATGATAATAAAGATTCAAATCCATACGTTATTGAATTAATTGTTCAACAAAATACAATTGCACATATATTAACAATATTAATGGCACATTTTGATACTTTATTAGAAGATTGGTATCCTGAAATGGGTACACGATTTGTTCAAAATTCCAAAGGTGATTATTTAGTGAATCGTTTTATTCCTTGCCATCAATGTTTGATTGAAAATAATTCACCAGAAAAATTTCTTTGTCACACATTCTGGTTAGAAGCATTAATGATGTTAATTGAAAAAAAAATGGAAGTTAAATGTGAAAAACATGGAGAAATTTCATTAGAAGCTATTGCACCTGATTTAGTTAGTATTTTGTTTTTAAACTTTCAATATAAAACGATTTTTGCTCTAGATTTTTTTGGATTTATCAATGAATAATTTTCTTATATCATTCGAAGCAATTAAATTAAAAAAACTTCTTGGACAAGGTACATTTGGTACAGTTTTTGCTACAACATCCTACAAAGTAAAAATTTCTACTAAATTCTTAATCATATATATATAATTTATATCTATGTTTAGTCGGGTTTAGATCTTGCTTGTAAAACGTTTGTACCAATTGATCCTTCAATAACCAGCGGTCTAATGGATCAAATACATAGTGGAAATAAAGATGATGAATCTGAAAAGAAATTATCTTTGGTAATTATTAAACAGAGGCGTAGCGACTAGGGAGCGCGTGGGGTGTCACACCCTCCTGCTTTTAGAACGTGAAGTACTGAACTTTTGCGCCCCCTGCCTTGGAGACCTTGCTACGCCCCTGTTATTAAATAATTGGAAACTAAAGTTCTATTTTTTAATATTTTAGCGTGATATTGCCAAAGAATGGATTCGAAATCCAATACGTGCTGCTAGTAAAGCTTATATAACTTGTCGACAAGAACTTTCATGTCTATTAACAACTGGTTCACATCCAAATATAGTTCCACTTATTGGTTTATGTACACATCCATTAAGTTTAATTTTACATTATGCTCCGATGGGATCACTTGAATCAATATTAAAAGAATATAAACGAACAAATACTCAACTTGGTTTAACTGTTTATCAAAAATTAATTACACAAGTTTGTTTATTTTTCTATTCGATATTTTAATTATTAATATATAAATTTAGGTAGCGAATGCAATTGCTCATTTACATACAAATCATATAATTTATCTTGATCTTAAATCAGAAAATATTCTTGTTTGGAATATGCCACAACCACGTTTACCTTCAAATGGACAAGTACTTGTTAAATTATCAGATTTTAGTATTAGTCGAGTTTTATCACCGATTGGTAAGATTTTTATTAATTATTTATTCAATTTGATTTCTTCTTTTTTTGTTGTTGTTTAGGTACAAAAGGTTTTGCTGGTACTGAAGGTAAGAAAAATGTTTGAAAACAAAAACAGTTTCTATTTCATTAATTCTTTTAGGATATATTGCTCCAGAAATAGTTCGATTTACCGGCGATGAATTATATACTGAAAAAGTTTGTATAATTTTATGGATAAAATATATTTGATTTTGTTTTTTTTTCTAAAGGCCGATATATTTTCATTTTCCATGCTTATGTATGAATGTTTATCATTAAATCATCCATTCAGTCGAAATAAACGTGATCATGCAAGAGAATTAATTCTGCACGGCTGGCGACCTTCGTTAACTGAACAGGTATTTATTAGAACCCAAGTACAGAATATAAAAACATAAGATTTGAATGGATTCCAATGTACATCTATAATCCTAGTATGATAGCTCCACTTTGAAGAATAAGAATTGCATACTACATAGTTAAGTATATGGTCTTATCAATTAATTGTTTGGCCTTGGTTCTATTTTCATCCTTGATATGAAGTAGAATACTTATTTCGATTTTTATTATTCTCAGTAAAATAAATCAACCACAATGATCTAGTATAATATGATTATATTCAAAATATCTAAAATGTGTTAATCAATGGAAAGCTTATAGTAGAGATGATTGAGATGTAATATTTTTGAATCAAATGAATTTTTTTCATTGCTTATTTTTTATTTCGAATCCATAATCATAATTGAAGCAGATTGTACGTCAGTATCTCAACGGTTAATAGTCATTTCTTTTGTTTTTTTTATTCTCTTTTTCGTAGAAAAGAGTCCAGTAAACATAAATTGTCTGATTGATTGCTTGTATGTCCGCAGGGTCAAAAAAACATTTCTAGAGGTATTTTGATGGGAGGAGTTCGAATCTGGGGTGCGTTGGGTGACTATGATGAGGATGCATTTCTACGAGAAAGAGCTAAGCGAGTTCTCGGATGAGCGTTACTTGTCTAGCTAATGTTCTCTTTAGACTTCATAGTTGCTATAGACTTCTATCGAGCTAAGACCATTCGTTTTTTATCGTCTATTACTTTGCATTAAATACACATTCAGTTTTTTGTACTATAATAACAAGATACAAATTTCTTCCTCATCGAACTAACTTTTCATTCACTCAAAATCATATATAGATCACGTATAGACTCTATTCACTGTACGGATATAAATCTGATTATACTAACTCTTTAAATTTCAATACATATATATCATTCAACTTATGGAGTTAATTATTTTTAGGAATTATCATCGCCAACATTAATTCTTGATTTAATGGTAGCTTGTTGGTCTGAACATCCAAATGATCGTCCATCAGCAAAGGATATTCATCAATTATCAAGTTCATTAGAATTTCGACATCTAATGGATGTTATTGAAATTGGTAGTCGAGAAGAATTTAATGATTCAAATACATTAGCAGCTGTTTCTTACCGAGAAAGTAAATAATTAATTTGAATTTTTTGTGTAAATCATTTTCTTTTGATTAGTTAATGATAATTATGAAAATGATAATAATGATGAAGATGATGATGATATTGGAATTCCAACTGCAGATTGTTGGTTTGTTCGACAATCAAAACAAAACGAACAGTCATCAATTGTTATTGTTGCTTATGATCAATTCAATGCAGTTAATCAACAGGTAAAATAAATTAATGTTTTAGTTTTTTTTTAATTTAAAAAATAAATATTTAGATAATTAATCTTGGAAATTGTGAAATTCGCTGCATTTATTATCATCAACGTGATCATGTTATACTTCTAGCTGATAATCATAATCTAATTTCTATCTATTGTACACGAACATTTCAAAAATTAAATCATTTTCTTCTTGTACATCATCAAGAAAATGGTCATGCAGTACATATGACAAGTTTACCTGAAACATCAATTGTTTTTCTACTTTTATCAGATAATTCAATATATAGTATTGATTTACCTATACTTTTACATCGAAATCGAAATTCAATGTCAACAATTACTGATCTATGTTATCGTTATGTTGCTAATGTTTCATTACCAACATTTAAAATTCTTGCATTACCAACAGCTAGTGGTCGAAAGTAAGAATTTCTTACATAAAAAAACACAGTTCTATAATTCATGAAAATTAATATTTTAGTGTGGAAATTTGGTGTGGATGTTCATTAGGAAATCTACGTATTATAGATGTTCGTACTGCACAATTATCAGTACAATTATCTCATCATTTAGCATCTGGATCAAGTGCTGTGCATTTACTGTGTGCATCGAAAGATTCACCTTATCAATATTTAATATGGACAGCAATGAAAACAGGTAAAATTCTTATTCCCTTACAAGAGAAATTAATCAGTAATTACCTTTTCAATCTTTACTTTCAGTTATAAGAGTAACTTTTTTCAAGTATATTCGTACTTCGTTACGTCGGTAACGCTAGTTTTCCTAGTGATAATTTCTCTCAACAAAAGTTTTCAATGAGATATTCATTCGTAGTTTTTATACTTTCATTGATTCTAAATTTAAAATTTTAATTTAGGAAGTTTTGTATGTGTTTGGAATCATCTATCTCGTCGTATGACCAATCAACTAGATTGTGGACAAATTCTTAAACGAAAAAAAGGTTACCAATTCTTTCTCGTTTATGTTAAATCTCAATATTTTTGTATTTTATTAGGTGATTCGAATGATTTAACTATTGATTCTATTCTATCTACTCGATTACTTGTATTCATTGGTTTAAATACTGGACATATTATTATTGTTAAATCATCTTCTATACAAGTTCTATATACTGTTCATGCATATGATCAACATGTATTACATTTATTTGCACTTTCTCCATCTGCTTTCTTACCATCAACAACAACAGGATTGCATGATGGACGATTTATAACTCAATTTAAATTTTTACAAGAAAAATTTGAACAACATCGTATTCATAGAGAAAATTCACGTACACCACTATTAGCTCGATCTGATAATAATGATACTGATCTTGATAATATATCATATATGTTAGCTATTGGTTATGGCGCAAAAGCATGTCAATCAATTCCTCAATTACAACAACATTCATCCGATGCAATTTTCTTACAAACATGGTCATTGGATGATTTTATTCTTTAAATGAATTATCGTGTTTGATTTATTAGTTAGATAAAAAGAAACAGTGATCGAACGAGTATTAAAACAGATTGTTTTTTTCTTCTTCTTCTTCTTTGTTTGTCGTTCATCTGTGATATTCGGCACTGACTTAACTAGATAATAATATGTGAAAATAAAATAAAAATATCTTATTTGTGGTTTCTAGTCAATGTTATTATTTGATTGTAAATCTATATTGTTTATGAAATAAATTATAATATGTAAATTAAAATTAAATAGAACTTACTTTATTTTTAGTTTTCGTTATAATGAAAAATAATCCTTGCAAGTTTTAGCAAAACAAATAAATGACTGTTATAACGATAAGATAATTCAAGAAATATTGTTTCTTAGCAGAGAGATGTGCTTTGCCTTAAAAAGTGACAGTATAAAATTAGAAGTGTCGAAAAAATTATTATAGTTGTGTGCATGAAGTTTCTAGTAAGTGAACGACTAATGGTGTAATTTTCCGCTCTCGAGATGAACAAAAAATTTCAAATAAAAGAGTTAATTAACTATGGTCAGATGTTCTTACAAAACTCAAACAACCTAGTCAATGAGTATTGTTGCCGGCGTCTGAGTTCTACCATTGCCAAAAAATCATAATTATATTGTTACAGGCATCAAACAAAAAGCTTCTATATCTCGTGCATGATTCTAACGAAAACAAAACCGTAGTTCCTTTTCCAAAACACTTCAAATAAAATACAATTCAATTTTTTAAATTCCTTTCCTAGGCTCAATGTAGCATTACTTTCGTGAAGGTATTCTTAACACTTCATAGTAGAATTCACTTATATTATTACTATCAAAAATAATTTTATATCAACTTCTTATACTCCCTAAAACATTACCCCATCTCATTCAACTCAAGTGAACCTATTCGAATGTCTGATGCAAGTATTACTCATGCACCACCCACCACATTTTCAAAGGTTTCTATATCAAATACATAATCATTCATCTGTAAAAACAACAATCCTTATCAATTCTGTTTACATCTCAATTACTATCATTTATTTGGCAATTCAACACAGAATTATATTTTAAGCCATATCTCTTATACTACTTTTCAATGATAAACATCAGTGTCTTGATTATTCCAACTAAATAAAACTTCATCTTCTACTATTTATTTTTAATTAATTTCTCCTTATCGAACTTTATCTACTCAACTTTTATACATATCCAGTAGTTTTTACTATTTTATCTCGATGTTTCATGATCAAGATTATTTAGTTCTAATAATATCAATAATAAATAATTTCTCATTCGTTTCATTTTCTGTTTTTAAGAAAATAAAATTCATTAATTTCTACATTTGATATCATTTACAATCAAAATCAGCATTCATTTTTATTTCTTTTTCACATCTACAAAAAAAACTCTAATATTTTTCTCATATTATTAAGTGCACCTTTTGTCTTACTATTTTTATCTCCCTTTTTTTACTCGTTCTCTTATAAACTATGAATATTATACAAATACATATTATACACTCATCAAACACGCAATAAAATAACGTCATTAATATACTCTCTTAACTATTCTCATGCTAAATATAATCTGTTTTTTGACGTCAATGAAAAACTATGAACAAAACCAGATGTGATTTTCTTTGTATGTACATCTCAAATGAGAAAAACAAATGATAAAATTGACGTTTGAAGACTAAACAAAAGCTTGGTTTTTT